GCTCCCCAGCCATGTTCAGTGCATTCTTCTAGGTAGCTGCAGGAGGCTTCCTTCCTGCCTATCTGCACAGCCTTTTCTGTTGCATTTCATGTGCCGTTTGTGAGTGATAGGAAACCTAGAACCACTCTGTGCTAATGAAGTGTGGGGCTTTCCCCATGAAAGTTTGTGCCCAAATAAATCTGTTGATCTGTACAGTGTCACAGGACCAGCCATGTTCAGTGCATTCTTCTAGGTAGCTGCAGGAGGCTTCCTTCCTGCCTATCTGCACAGCCTTTTCTGTTGCATTTCATGTGCCGTTTGTGAGTGATAGGAAACCTAGAACCACTCTGTGCTAATGAAGTGTGGGGCTTTCCCCATGAAAGTTTGTGCCCAAATAAATCTGTTGATCTGTACAGTGTCACAGGACTCCTTGTTGTTTGTGTGCTAATGAGTTACCTCCTGAGAGGAGCCGGAATCAGCTACTTGTAATTCAACCCCTTGACTAGGATAAGACTGTGGTGGTTGCTGATTTTGGGCTGTCTCGACTAATTGTGGAAGAGAGAAAGAAACCCACCCTGGAAAAGCCATCTACCAAGAAGCGAACCCTCCACAAGAGCGACAGGAAGAAGCGCCACACTGTGGTCGGGAACCCATACTGGATGGCGCCGGAGATGTTAAATGGTAAGATGCTCATACTATGGCGGGTGAGAACCCACCCCAAGGCACAGGCGTAGGGACAACAGGGTTACTGAAAACTTTGGCCGTTCACAGCCAGTCAAGTCTAGTCACGGCTTGAGGCTAGAGACCTGCTAATACATGAGCTTCTTTCTGGTCAATCCAGTGGCTGTGCTTTCCCTTGCATCAGCCCTGTTAAACGTCCCTGTAACGCAAGCAGCAAGAAAGGGGAGCCCATTCCTGGGAGGTGTCCAGACTCTTTGTGGGGTGTAATGGGGTAATAACCTGCCAGCATCTGCATGGTGGAGGCCACGAATCAGGAGTCGTGAAGCAATGAGACTGACTTTGAAATCAACTTCAGTCTGGTGCGTCTCGCACCCTTAGGTTGCAGAGATGTGACTGTGCTTTGTAGAAATTAAGTCGGGTAAGACTGTGGGGAAAACCTGAAATGTGGCATGCTGGAGGGTCAGATCTAGGGACGTGAAGGTGTAGTTGAGTAGTCGATTAGCCAATAACTCCTGCTTATCAGGTTTGCACTATCAGCTACTTGATCGCTTTTTCCCGCCGACGTGCAAAGATGCCGGTTCATTCCCTAGTCCCCCGCTGGGTCTCAGGACAACCCTCAGGCTGCATTTTTAAAAGGGACACAACTGTGGCAGCCAGCCTCCTCTCTTCTCTTCTCTTCCCCCCCCCCCCCCCCCCTCCCCCCTCCCGTC